GTTCGGTTTGAGCTTGTTCGACTAACAGCCCTACCTATGAGCCACCATTGTTGCTTAAATTACTAAAATAGTTTCATAAATTATTAGAGTTTTTTCAAACTTTCTTTTATTCTCGGCCTAATTAGTTTGGGTAAGGTAAATCCTCCACATCATTATGTAGATACACATATATATACATGTACACATATTCCTTTGAAAAACAGTAATCAAACAAGTTTTTGCTTAAAAAAAAAATTACTTATTATCTTTATTTTTTGGGCCATAATTTGTAAAAATTTATCAATTTTAGCTTGCTAGTCTAAGAGTAAATATTCATTTGTAGTGGTTATTTTACGTTATTATTGAAACATAGCATCCTAATCCAATAACAAAGTATCACATAAGGATAGTGAACCCTAAGTTATATACTAGTTCTCATATTATATTGGATGTATATAACTACTATTCGACCAATGTGGGCTCCTATACATATGCATTGATTTATTCTTTTTTTTTTTCAACGGTCAGAGGTATTCAGATCAATTTACGCACATTTTGACTAATCTCTTCTCCGAATCAGTCAAAAACAAGCAAGTCATCCACGACCGGGACTAAGATAATCCCTCATAATTTAATCCTAAAAAATTATCAAAATTCGAACTCAAAATATTTAAATTTATAATTCGTCTCTATATATTACTATTTGAGTTATCTTCACGTTGATTGTTTTATTATGAGCAAGTGATATTAAGTAGTATCAAGCATGCCACCCCCACCCATATAGTGTTAGTGCCACCCATATAAAGTATCAACCATGATTCCACTTGCGCATGGCTGGCTTCTAGAACTCATGTAGCCTTTGAAAATGAATAGCATCTAATGGACAAGGTTAACTGTCCCAACAAAATAATAATATTTCATACCAAAAAAATAATTTTTATTCATAGATTTTAGTTTAATTTATTGTGGGCATTAACCGTGAAAATGATAAACTAAAGGAAAATAAAATAATTAGACTTTACACGTGACAAGTTAACATTGGAAAAAATAAAAAAGATTCAATACTAAAGAATAATTTTTCGGTGCGTCATTGAACTCCATCTAAGGGTCAAAAAGAACATAGGAAATTTCATTAAGATCAAGAAATAGTCACTATTCAATTTCTGCAAGTGTAAAGATGCCAATAGGTGTCTGTCTCTCTCATCATTGCCTATATGCTTCACAAGTCTAACATCAAAGACCCTTTTGTCAAACAAAACCACAAAACTGGTGCCCCAATCAATGCCACCAAGAAACCCCACCATTTACAAATGCATGCAGCCAAGGATAGGATAAGTTGTTTAATAAAGTTTTTTAAAGTGGTAGTGAGGGTGGATTTTCAATTCCCCATTGGGGCATGAGAAATGGATTTCATTTGCAAAGGTTTGGGCCACTACATATGTGAGGGAGGGAGGGAGAGAAACCACCTCTTAGATAATCTTTGTATTATTATTTTTTTTGTTAGAGAGTATTTACATTTGTGTTGATTATTTTTTCGAGTTTAGTTTGAATTAAGTTAGAGCATATTTCTAAAAAAATAAAGGCGACTAATTCTTAAAGGGTGTGAAAAAGAATTAAACCTGAAAACTTTAGGTTACTGGAGGACAAGTCCAACCACTTACCTATCATGAATATTTGTAATCTTTGCATTGTGGAACTATCTAGTGGTAGGTTGATTGTTAAAGTTCAAAGCAAAGTCATACCATAGAATCTTAAATGCATTCTCCTTGGGCTTATAGAATTTGAAAATTCTTAGTCCAATTTACTAGTGGAAAAACAAATCCAAACAAAGGAATTTATCTCCCTTAGCTACGTGTTATCGAGAAAAATTAGGGTTATCAATTTTTGACACAACACGTTAACACGACACAAATTAAACAAGAAATTAATGGGTCAGAAACAAAATTAAAAGAACAAATGAGTTAAAACTGGTTAATACGCTTAAAAAAAAAAAAAAGTATGTCAGGTTTATGTCAAAATCAAGTCTACACGATTTTGACCTGATTAACTCGTATATTTTAAACGGGTTGACACAATTCGAATACGAATTCGACTTAACCTATTATAGACCGGTTTAACCAGTTTATAACGGTATAGTTTGCCTATTATATATGACAGATGTGATCTTAACATTATTATTTATTAGTTCTTGTTTCTACTATGTTAATTGACAATATAGTTCTTAATATTATTATGACAGTATATTAGTATAATTTTTGGGTTGAAACTTGAATGTATTTTAGTTAATTTTATTGATGAGATGCGATATGTTATTTGTAAAAATATTATTTAAAAGTTTGGATGAATAATTGAATGATGTATTTAATGGTAATGAACTGGTGTAAAAACATGTTATATGTATTAAACAAGTTTGTATTATGTGTGCTAAATAAATTAAATAGATCATGTAATGTGTGTTAACTCGAAAATGACATGTCAAACAAGACGGGTTCAGGTAATCCATTTAATGGTTAGGTCAGGTTAGTGTTAAGACATCTCAACGTGATTATTAAACATGTCAAGTTTGAGTTTTGAAATTTTTGACACAAATTCAAAATCAACCCGACACGTTTGATACTTCTAATAAAAACAATTCCAAACAACCCATCTCTTAAGGTTTTTCTTTTCTCTATAAGAGAAAAAACAAATATAATTTCAAAAGTTTACCAAAAGCTTGGTCAAACCAAAATGATTGATTTTCTATTCATTATTTTTTTTCACACAATTTCACTCATTGGTAGATCACCTACCATATATTCACGTGGGATTTATTTTTTATACGTGAACCCCTCACTCAAATAAAACGAATGATCTACCATTGAGTAAAATTATGTGAAAAAGTAATAGAGATGACCAAGATCCAACTAAAAGAACCCATATTAGTTCTCTTACACTCCAAAAGATGCTTTAATTTTTTAATTTACACCCTCAAATATTAAAAATCTCAATTTATAGCATTAATGTTATGAATTGGTAGTAGTGTGATTCTGACTAAGACTATCATTCAATTTTTCGTCATAAATTAAAGCACGTGAGGTGCAAATACTTCGTACCGGAGGATAATTAAGTCCATGGTTGCACATCTTCGTATGCGATCAATTTGGTACTATTTTGTGTATCGAAAGTTGGGTTTCATTATGTAGATAGATGTTAATCATATTATATGCAACTTACACGAGACGTCAACAGTCAATAAATTTATACATAAGTTCATGCTTGAAGCACTTGCAACTCACGGGCTTCAATTTATGATAGAACGTTGAATGGTAGTCTAAGCAAGGTCCACATTGCAATCAATTTATAATATTGAAGGTGTAAATTGATATTCAAAATATATTTTCAGATACAAAATGAGAATAAACCCATTAAAAAAACTGCACATCTTCTGAGTGATACTTTTCTATATAATGGCTAAAAATAAAAAACTACACCAACGGGGGTGGTGGCGCAGTTGGCTAGCGCGTAGGTCTCATAGCTTCTTGAGTGATCCTGAGGTCGAGAGTTCGAGCCTCTCTCACCCCATAATGCATTTTTCTGAGAGATATCAAAGATCCAGAACAATATTTCAATTACATGTGAAATGCTGCACGATACATTCTTTTTGCATCTTAATTCTTTATATGTTCACTGTGCCTAGGGATAAAAATGTCCATTTCCAAGTTATATTTTCTTGCCGGATTTCACCAAATTTTTGTACACATCTTCTTCATAGTCATGTATAAAATCTAAGTAATCATCTCTGTTACAATTCAAACACACGAAAAGTAAACTCTAACTTAAAAATTTCGTATCAACAATTCATGTTAAAAATTATCAAAGTTGGCTCAAATGATTAAATCATGTACCAAATATCAAAATATTGTTTCGGCACACTATTTCAATCACTTAAAAAAAATATTTTAAAAATATTTCGAAAACGTTTCGAAAATTTAATGAACACTGATAAAAAAATTTAAGAATTTATTTTCAAAATACTTCAATGATTGGTCTAAATATTTTTGAGCACCTTGAAACATTGATAAAAACATGCTGAAACATCTTACAACACTTAAAACATTCTAAAATATATCAAAACATCTTGAAACATTGAAATTTCAATTCGATCAGTGTTTTATTTCAATCTTCTTGAAAACAGAAACATTTTATTTGTTCTTAGGGAGAATCAATGTAATAAACAGCTTGCAAGTGAGGCAGCTAACAAATGAAATGACCATTCTTACCAGTTCTAACATACTTAGCTGTTTCACTACAGTTTTGCTTTATTAGATTCATTGTGTAAGTAGGACACCCAAAGGAGTATTTCCCAATTTTGAAATTTTCAACATTGATGCAAAATTTTACTTGAAAATTGTCTATTCCATCTGCAAGGAGCATAGAAACTGGAAAGAATGCTGTCAGGGTACTTCAGTGTTTGAACCTTGTTGATGAGCAAGATGTTTCAGCATGTTTCTATCAATGTTTCAAGGACATGCTATATGCTCAGAAGAATACAAGGGTTGTAGCTGCCAGCAAGTTCAAGAAGAATGACTTATACTTGAATGCTTAATTGTACCATTCTTTTGTAACTTCACCTATTTCAAGATCATCATCTGCAATTTTATTGCAAGTTATTCACAAAAGTAAAAAATAAAAATAAAAATCATGAATTAGAATATAAATCAACAGCAGTTTTGTCCCCCAAAGGGCCTCGAAACTTTCTTAGAAGCAACTTTGAGTAATAGAACATAAAAGTAAATCCATAAAATTGTTAAGACAGTCAACAAGCATCCAATCTATGAGGTTGTCCTGAACAAAACCATAGATGACATAAATATGTATGAAGGGATTTGAATGGTCTGAATTCTCATAACATCTGCATAATACATTAGAAATTTCAGGATGCCAGAGGTGAACGATCAAATTTCTCCATTTGTTTTGAAAGTGGTCAGTTTTCCATTTTGAGCTCACTTGCCCAGAGTTATGGCTAACTTACTAAAAATGGTCTAATGCCACTCCAGTCCTCCCAATGTAGTGGAGCCTAGCCCTTCCCAGACTTCATTGCACCCTACTTCATCATTATCAACACCTTCCATATCACAGTCCCACCAGCCACTCCCATTTGCATCTGTTAAACAGAACCAATAACCAAACCTTCTTTTCCTTTAGTTTGACTTAAATTAGAAAATGCATTCAAATGGCCAATGGGTAATATAACTGAATAAAGAATAGCTTTAGACTGCTTATGATTATGGAGAGCCCATACTTACAGTGGTTGAAAAGCTTCCTTGATTTCTCATTGCTAGCAAAACTCTTCTTTACTTTTGGCTTGTTCCTCAGATCATCTCCAAGAGCTACTAAAAGCTTGTGAGCAGATTGTTTATATTCACCACCTTTAATGGCACAAAAACTCATATTTCGAACATAAATATAAAAGTAACAAGAAAGAAACGCATTTCATCCTGATGCATGAAATCACTGTCAATCGCAGGGCATCATCGAATCAAATCCTATGTGATAGGTAAAGCTTAAAACCAACAATATAGAAAGGAAGCAGATTATTCAGAGAAGGATGCAGATCATATTGCTTTTGTGTTGTGTGCTTTGTTTGTTTTGTTTTGTTTGAGGAAGAGTGTTAAAAAGAATGAAGTTTCTTTTCCCACCCTGTAAAGCTAGAAGGGAGGGATGGGGGAGCAAATTTTACCTGCATGCTTTCCTCCAATGAATTAAGCACTTAAGTTGCTAAGAATTATATTCCCTCCTTAAGTAGAAACTTTCATTCAGCACTTATGGTACAAATCTGGAAATTGCTGGCAACAATTCCCCACAAACTTATTATACTCTAGACCCCACAAAGTGATCAAGTTGATTGATGTCTACTTTCACAGTGCCTTGTAGTTTTAAATTTATTTTAAGTTTTGTCAATAGAGATTTAGCCAAATATTGAAAAGAACATCAAAACTTAAGATGAAATTAGAAGCAGCATTTAACAATTCTGTAAGAAAAACGGATTGTGCCAAGTGATTGAGATGCAACGACAAA